ACCTGGCTTGGGTGCCCTGCTGCGCTCTCAGTCCCAGCCTCCTGCGGACGCAGACCCTGGGAGGCAGTGGTGCTGGCGCCAGGGACAGCGGCTGCTCCCCGTGGGGGTGGGGCACGCCTGGGCCGTGTCCAGCTCTAGTCTGGTCTCTCTCTGTGTCTCTGCTTCTCGGATAAATAGCGTTTGAGAGCTATGTGTGTTACTTAAATCAGAGTAGTAATCAAGGTCTTAGCCACCTGTCTAGAAGGCCGGGAGGTTTGTGTTGAGGTGGACGAGAGCGTGTGCCAGTGGTCACCTGACAGCCCAGGGCCCGTGGGAAACCTCAGAACGGCCACTGCTTCCACTCACTGTCTTTCCCTCCTCAGCTGGCCTTAGCCAAAGCCTGTGCAAATGGGAACCAGCTGGGGCTGGAAGCCAGGGGGTCCGCGGAGACCGTGTGCCAGCTGTTCCAGGCGTCCCAGGCCGTCGGCAAGCAGCAGGTGTTCTCCGTGCAGAGGGGGCTCAACGACACCATGAGGTGAGGCTCTGGGCGGGGGCGCCCGGCTGGCCGCCCACCAGCCCCACTGCTCACATCACACGAAGTTCCTAAGTTTTCCGGAATCTGAGGAAGAAAGTGCCGAACGTGGCTGTCTCGTCATCTCTAACACGTTAAACCGTGGTGAACGCCCTGGGAGAGCCGGCCGTGCAGTTCCTGAAGCTGGGACACAGCCTTGCTTGTGACCACGGTCAGGGGCATGGGCGTGCTCTGTGCGGGCCAGTGGCTGCTGGGGCCAGGCCGCACCCAGGGAGCTGTGCCCTCTGGGACGGCCAAGGAGTGTCCTCTGAGGTTGGCAGTAACACGCTTGTACACTGGGCCAGTGTGAACAGGACCTGGTAGAGGGTCAAGTGGACAGTGCTGGCTCCTGAAGCTCATGAGCTTTAGATCACCTGGATTTGCGGAGGGAAAGCCTGGGTCCAGCCCTGCAGCAGGCGATGGCCGGCACGCGGTCGCCCGTCTGGGCAGGAACCCGCCTCCTCACCCTCGGGCTGCCGTGCAGCGCAAATGTAGCCGTGTCAACGAGGCAGTGTCCTGGTTGTAGAAGTCAGGTGATTAAACTGCTGAAGTCCCTGCTCAGAGGCGCTCCCTGGTCTGTTGGCAGTGGTGACTGGTTTGCCCCTCAGGCCGTGGCCCGGTGCCCGTCCCGGGGGTGCAGAGAGGCTGTCTGCTCCACCCTGCAGCGCGCCACCTCGGCCGCCGGCCTGCTGTGCCCGGCTGAATCCTGCCCTCGGCAGCGCTGCTCTCTGCTGGCGCAGGCCTCCCTGCTGTAAGAGACGGTCCGCCGGCTCCGGGGTGCACGCGGCATTCTGCCTCCGCCCTGGCCGCCTGGTGGAGAGGCGCGGGCCTCGGGCCTGGGCTGTCCGTCGGAGGGGGGGGGGGTTGGGAAGCTCAAGAGCCCTTCCTCTCCTTCCTGGCTCTGTGCTGTTGGGAAACTGCGCAGCAAATGCCCTGGGTGAGAGCCGTCTCGCCCGAGTGAGGGGAAGGGGCGGTCGGGGTCTGCCTGACAGTCAGCGCTCGTTCTGCCTTTGAGCGGTTTCTCTCTGGTCCTGGGACCTGTGAGCCAGCCCCCGCCTGCCCCTACCCGAGAGTCAGACCCGTCCAGTGCTGGGAGAGGCGGGGGGGGGGGGGGGGCTGTTCCCTTTGTGCTAGGATGAGGCCCCAGGCGTTTGTGTGTGTGAGCACCCTCCTGTGCTAGCCCCCCCCCCCCCCCCGCCTCCCAGGAACACAGCTGGAGATGCAGGGCGTGTGGGGTGGGGGCCGGCACTCCCACCCACTCGTCCCTGGAGCCCAGCAGAGATGAGGTGGGGATGGTTGGAGGGCTCTGGTGTAGCGCGGTGCCGGCCCTCTGCCCACAGGTACATTCTGATTGACTGGCTGGTCGAGGTCGCCACCATGAAGGACTTCACGAGCCTGTGCCTGCACCTCACGGTGGAGTGTGTGGACCGGTACCTGCGGAGGCGGGTGGTGCCGCGCTATCGGCTGCAGCTGCTGGGCATCGCTTGCATGGTCATCTGCACGCGGTGAGGACCCCCGGCCGCAGGGGACCCGAACCTCCCGTACTGACAGCGTGAGCCCGAGTGGTGCTGTCCTGCAGGGCGCCTGCCTCCCGGGGGCTCACTGGGGTGTGACTGGATCATGCTTCCCCAACCCCCGAGGGCACCCACCACCTGCCCGTGTTCTCGGAGTCCGAACGGAGAACCGCCTCACGGCGTCTCAGTGCTGGGGTGACACCGCTCAAACCTGCCTGCCTCTGAGCCGCCGTCTGCCCAGACGCAGAGGTCCCGGCTAGGCTCACGGGGTTGGGCTTCCGTTTCATGAGGTCATGGCTTGTGGTCTGGCCCTGTCCTACCGCAGGAGCCCCCCCGGCCCTGTGACACCTACAGGTGTCTCTGCTTCACCCCTAAGCTGGGTCACAGGGGACGTGTAGTCTAGCTGCTCAAAGCAGCAGCACATCCGGTGGGGGGGACGCGGGTTCCAGGTCAGTGAGCAGAGCACTCCCCGGTGAGCTTGTGAATGGACCCAGCCGTGGGTGTGCCCACCACCTGCAGCTGGACAGGTGCAGCCTCCACAGTCCTGTGTCTGATGGCCCAAGACCACGTGACCGGGCCGCCGGCCGACTCCCAGTGGGAAACTAACTGCTTAGAAATGTCTTTAGGGCCGGGATGCCCCGCCTTCCCTCTCCGCAGCGGCTGCCTCTGCCCGCGTGTAGGCCTGTCCCTACACACCAGCCCCTCCCATCCTCTGCCAACCCATGACGAACGTGCAGACTGCAGAGTTCGGGACACGGCCTGCCCCGGCTGGGGAAGGAGTCCTCCGGGCCCTGGGGGCAGCGTGCTCCCTGATGGCCGATGCGGGGAGCTGGTAGAGAACAGGGTGTCTGCTGCCTCGGGCACCCGGCCGGGCACTTCTTCAGCCCTCTTCCAAGTCCTGGTCCCAAGAGTGCTCCACCTCCAGGGCTTAAATCGCTTGATAGTCGCTGTCACACGGCGGGGCCAGCCCTTGTCCCCAGGGTTGTTGGGGGCAGAGGGCCCAATGGCCGCACTGACCACCTCTGCCTGTGCCTGGTGGCTCTAATGCTCGTTCCAGCACCGTCTCCCTTTAGATTCCCCCCACCCCCCCGCTGGCCACAGGCAACAAGTCCGGTGTAACCTCCTCCTGCCGCTAAAGCCAACCCTCCCCGCTGACCTGGAGGCGTCCAAAGGCCCCAGGCCTCGCCCCTGCCCCAAAAAGTAGGCTGAGGGCTGAGCCCCCACCTGTGCGCTGCAGGTTCGTCAGCAAGGAGATCCTGACGATCCGGGAGGCCGTGTGGCTCACGGACAACACCTACAAGTACGAGGACCTGGTGCGGATGATGGGGGAGATCGTCTCCACCCTGGAGGGGAAGATTCGAGTGAGTGCCGGCGCCGTGTCCTTTGAAATCCACGTTACTGGGTCTGAGGCTGCGGGAGGGGCGGGGGACCCAGCATCCCTTGCTCCACGAGTCCTCGGGGACCCAGAGGCGGCAGCTGCTCTGCCACGCCCGGAGCGGTGTGAACGTCGTTGGGCCAACCCTAGACCCCCCATAGCGTGAGAGGGAGGGACCCTCCAACACGGAGCCCTCATGCCCACTACCCGCCTCTGCAGATCCCCACGGTGGTCGACTACAAAGAGGTCCTGCTGACGCTGGTGCCCATGGCGCCCAGGACCCAGCACCTGTGCAGCTTCCTGTGCGAGCTGTCGCTGCTGCACACCAGCCTGTCCGCCTACGCCCCGGCCCACCTGGCCGCCGCGGCCCTGCTGCTGGCCAGACTGGTACATGGGCAGGGTGAGTGCTCCGAGGGGAGGGGAGACACCAGAGCGGACCGCAGGCGTCGCCGGGGGGGCAGAGGCCCCAGAGCCACTTCAAGGGACTGCAGCTTTCCGGGAGTGTGGGACGGAGCTGTCAGAGCTGTGGGGTGGCAGTGGTCAGGCGGCCGTCATGCCGGCCCTCGTTTCCAGCCTGCTTCCCTCCCTCCCTCCCCAGCACAGCCTTGGCCCACTCGGCTGTGGGACTTCACTGGGTTCTCCTACGAAGACCTCATGCCCTGCGTCCTGAGCCTTCATAAGAAGTGGTGAGTCTACACAAACCCTCCCGCCAGACGCCAGGGCAGGGGGAGCCTCGGATGCCACGGCGGGTGCCAGCCTCCCCTGCCCACAACAGCTGGGGCAGGGTACGAGAGCATCGGGCCACAGGCAGAGGGCACAGCTGTTCCTAGCCTGAGTGCGGACCGGCCGGGGCCAGGGCCGGGGCCGGGGCCGGGGCCGTTAGTGGAGCAGTGAGCTGGGAACAGCAGGGGCCGGGGCAGGGACTGCCTGGTGCTGAGTTGGTTCCGGCTGCGGCCATTTCCCTCGCCTTCCTCTCAGCCTCTCTGCTCCTCCTGCTGCTTAGTGCCCCTCCCTCTGGGGTCCCCCTCACCACCCTGGGGTCCGTGGCCTGGTGCTGCCTCTGCCCTGCTGCCCCAGACTGTCCCACTGAGCCTCCCTCCGGCCCGTCCCCGGTGTCTGAGCGGACGCCCGCTCGCTCGCTGGCTCCGCCTGTGGGCTGCATTTGGTGACCGCAGAATGTCTGCCTCTGTCACCCCTGGAGCCAGGCAGCTCTTGGGTCTGGTGAACTTCCTGACACACGGAAGTTCACACTCCCGCAGAGGGATCAGGGCCTTGGGCGTGGCCGCCTGGCCACCTGTGGGCACCTCCCTTGCCCTTGTGCTGACCGGAGCCTTGTCTCCGGCTTCCAGGATGGCAGCACCCTGCAGCCAGCCCCCTCTTTGGTCCGTCCGGTCGGGGGACCCACTGCCTTGGGCTTTTCCCGCTCTTTTCTCCTGAACTGCCAGGCTCCTCTGTAGCGGGCAGATGAGGAAGGGGGTGAGGATCAAGGGGCAGCGTGTCTGTCCCCCCCACCCCGCTCACCCCCGGAACAAGTGGACACCAAAAGCGTTGCATGGCAGCGTTCAAAGAGAAACTGGAAGGTTTTATTCAGGAACCGTACTTTTAAAAAGTGTCTAATAGTAAGCTTTTAAGATACAGAGTCCTGTAACCACCACCAGTGAATTTTAGTACATTTTCTCTCACACACACACACACACACACACACACACACACACACATACACATACATACACACATGCACCCCCACCCCAACCCCCCAGAAAGAAACCCCAGGCTTGGTTCACTCCGGCTTCCTTGGCCCTTGGTAATCAATCTTCCTGCCGCTGGATCTGCCTATGCCGGCGTTCCATACCAAGGAGTCCCCGTCCGTGGCCTGTGTCTGGCTGCTTTCTCTTGCCATCATGCGTTGCTTCATCCGTGTTGTGGCATGTGACTGGATAACATCCCGGTGTGTGGCCACATTGCCTTCGGTGACCCACCCATCCATCCACTGCACTCGAGAGTGGGAGAGACCACTGGGCACGTGGAGGCCGTCTGCCCGTTGTTGGGGGGACGCTGGGCACGTGGGAGCCATTTGCCCGTTGCTGGGGGGACGCTGGGCACGTGGGAGCCGTCTGCCCGTTGTTGGGGGGACCGCCAGACTATTCCCCAGCATGTCCTGTTATGGCTGGGATGGCTCTGAAAGTGTTGTCCCCTCCACGTCAGTGAGTTGAGGCTAAAGACAGGGTGGGGGCCAGCGCCGCAGCTCAATAGGCTAATCCTCCGCCTTGCGGCGCTGGCACACTGGGTTCTAGTCCCAGTCGGGGCGCCGGATTCTGTCCCAGTTGCCCCTCTTCTAGGACAGCTCTCTGCTGTGGCCAGGGAGTGCAGTGGAGGATGGCCCAAGTGCTTGGGCCCTGCGCCCCATGGGAGACCAGGGAAAGCACCTGGCTCCTGCCTTCGGATCAGCACGGTGCGCCAGCCGCAGCGCGCCAGCCGTGGTGGCCATTGGAGGGTGAACCAACGGCAAAGGAAGACCTTTCTCTGTCTCTCTCACTGTCCACTCTGCCTGTCAAAAAAAAAAAAAAAAAAAAAGACAGGGTGGGGAGCTCACGAGTCTGCCTCCATGCCCGTTTCCAGCTTCCACGACGACGCCCCCAAGGACTACCGGCAAGTCTCCCTGACGGCGGTGAAGCAGCGATTCGAAGACAAGCGCTACGAGGAGATCAGCCAGGAAGAGGTGCCTCCTCCTGCTCACCTGGGTGTCGGGGGGCCAGGGGGAGGAGCCTCCTCCCACTCACCTGGGTGTCTGGGGGCCAGGGGGAGGAGCCTCCTCCCGCTCACCTGGGTGTCAGGGGTCAGGGAGGAGCCTCCTCCCGCTCACCTGGGTGTCTGGGGGCCAGGGGGAGGAGCCTCCTCCCACTCACCTGAGTGTCGGGGGCCAGAGGGAGGAGCCTTGTCCCGCTCACCTGGGTGTCGGGGGCCTCATCGGCCTGTGGGCTCCTCTCCACTCCCTGCCTCGGGCCCCCAGGTGCTGAGCTACAGCCAGTTGTGTGCAGCCCTGGGCGTGAAGCAGGAAAGCCCGGAGCCCGCGTCCTTGGTCAGCGCGGGAGACATCCACGCCTTCCTCAGCTCTCCGTCTGGGAGGAGAACCAAACGGTGAGTGCTCCGGGCCGGGGCTGTGCCGCAGACTGGCCTGCGCCCCTCAGCCACGCTGCGGCCCCCAGAGGGGGTTTGTGGGCTCAAGCCAGGCAGCCTGGGTCGGGCCATCCTCCTGATGACCGCCCTCCCCCGGTGGCTCCCGTTCTCTGTGCTGCCTCTCGCTGGCCAGGCAAAGCTGAGCTGACCATGGCACTGCGCCACCCCCTTCCCTCGCACCACTGCCCCGCGGCCCTCAGTCCGGCCTCCGTGTCCCTGCTGTGCCTCCTGGGATAAGCCCCCCCATCCTGTCCGCCCTGAAGAACTCCCACTGATCCTGCAAAGCCCACGTGAGCAGGGCCTCTGACTCCCCGCACGCACCCGTGAGCTGCTGTGGGCAGGCCCTGGGTGGTTTGTCACCCTTGTCACACACAGGGCCGTGCAAGGCCACCTCCACAGCTGGTTTCTGGGGCACGGGCCCTGGCAGCAGACGCCCGCGTGCTGCTCCCCTTCCTCCCTGGGAAGCATGGGAGGCCTCCCTGCACTGGGCCCCTCCCAAGCTGACTACACGCAGGCTGAGACCCCCAGCACACACGCACACATGTGCACGCACTCACACGTACTCACGCATGCACTCCGGGAGGGGGTTCCTGGGCTGCCCATGTGCGCCTGTGTCTGCCTGCTCTCCTCCTGTCCGTTCCCAGGGAGACCTGGTGCCGCCTTTGCCAAGCGTGGCTGGCCTGCAGCTCCTGTTCTCGGCACCCGACAGTGCCATCGTCCTCCCAGCTTCCAGAGGGGCCGAGTGGTTTTGTGGGGTCCTGCAGCACAGTGGGCCAGGTTCACACCCTGCCCCAGGCTCGGTTTTCTCCAAATCGCCCTTCCCCCAGCCGAGCCCCTGCCCTCGAGGCCTTCCACCCATTCTACCCACAAACCTCTCGGGAGCACATGGCCATGAGCCCAGGGTGTGCAGGTGCGGAGGACTGGGTGGGCCCCCGACACTGCCGCCTCTGACCAGGCCTCCTGGGCTGTCCCCCGCTACAGGAAGCGTGAGAACAGCCTGCAGGAGGACAGGGGCAGCTTTGTCACCACCCCCACTGCAGAGCTGTCCAGCCAGGAGGAGACACTGCTGGGCAGCTTCCTGGACTGGAGCCTGGACTGCTGTTCTGGCTACGAGGGTGACCAGGAGAGCGAGGGCGAGAAGGAGGGCGACGGTGAGTGTCACCGGGGAGGGGGTGTGCAGAGGGCTGAGCCTGGGGCCAGGCTGGGGCCAGACACAGGGAGGCATGAGGGCAGAGCCCCTGAACACCAGTGCGGGGTGGCGGCAGTAGGGAGAGGGAGGCCTTAGGACGGCCAGTGTCTACGTATATGCTACAGGCAGGCATATCGGTAGACCCTCTCCGGGGTGGGACAGAACTCCCTGCCTGGAGTTCATAAGATCCTTTAAATTAAAGACACACTTGGAAGTCACAGGGGTGACAGATATCTTCCATCTGCTCGTTCACCCCAAATTCCCGCAAGGGCCAAGCCAAAGCCAGGAGCCTGGAGCTCCATCCAGGTCTCCCACGTGGGTGCGGGGGCCCAGTCCTTGGGCCATCTTCCGCTGCTTTCCCAGGTGTGTTAGCACTGAGCTGAGTCGGAAGTGGAGCAGCTGGGACACAAACTGGCGCTCACGTGGGATGCCACGTCACGGGCGGCAGCTTAACCTGCTGTACCCAGTAAAATCTTTCTAGAATGTTTCTGAGATGTGTGCTTGTGTACATGAGCCCTGCTGTGCCGTGGGCTCTACCTCCCGGCAGGTGAGTTCCTGTGGATTTTCAGTTTTGTGTCCACCAGTGGTTAGGTGAGGTGGCCATTTGTTGTCACCCGCCACTGCCCAGAGTCGGCAGGCAGCTCGTCCACGTTACGCAGAGGCGAGCGGTGCAGGGGCTGACACAGGTGGGGCAGCGCATTTGGCATGGGGTCCGCCTGCTGGCTGAGAGCCGGGACCTGCCCCCACCCCACGCCCCAGCTGTGGTGTGACCTCTCCTGCCCCGACATTTCCCACAGTGACGGCTCCCAGTGGCATCCTGGACGTCACCGTGGTCTGCCTGGACCCAGAGCAGCACTGCTGCCAGGCGTCGAGTGATGAGGAGGCCTCTCCAGAGGCCACGGGGCGCCGGGCGCCGGGCACCCTGGCAGCTCCCTCCGCAGGGCCCGAGCCCCACGCCCGCAGCAGGACCGCGCCGGGCAAGGACATCACGACCTCAGGGTACTCCTCCGTCAGCAGCGCGAGCCCCACCAGCTCGGGGGCCGCGCCCCCATCTACCTCAGTGCCGTCCCCGGGCAGCAGCCCGCACACACAGCCTTGCCACCATCAGGCCAGGAAGTCATGTTTACAGTGTCGGCCCCCGAGCCCCCCGGAGGGCAGCGTTCCCCGGCCGCAGGTGAAGCGGAAGAACCGGTCGGCGCACAGTGAGGAGGACGAGGACGAGGACATGAACCTGGGCTTCCTGCGGCTGTGAGCTCGCCAGTGCCTTGCTGGGTGCCTGACTACTGAGGGGGGCTGGCCTGCAGGCCATGCGCGGGAGCAGAGCCCGTGGCCCACGGGTACGGGGGCCCTTCCTCCAGGAGCCCCGGGGGAGTGGACAGCCGGGGTCTGCTGCTTTGGAAGGTTCGGCCTCACAGCAGTCACGCACACCATGAGCCTGTCTGTCCAGACCCCTGTGTCCACCGTCTCCCAGCCCCTCTGAGCCCCGTGCCGGAGCCAACAGCTGCCAGGCTCAGCCGCCGAGAGCCTGGCGCAGCCTGGTCCCTGCCCGCGTGTTTGGCCTCGGGCTGCTGAGGGGAGCTGATGGCCGCCTGCCCCCTCCCGGGCTGTGCCGCCCCCAGCCTGGCCCCTCCTGAAGTCTGCCCTCCCTCGGAAGGGCTGTCCTCACCAGTGGTGGCCGTGGGCACATCTCGCACTGATTTTTGGGCCATTCTTTTTCCATTTTTACGTCTCTACTCCCTTCTTCCTCCAAGAAGAAAAAACCGTGAATGAGAAGAAAAAAATGAGGACTCGACTGAAAACCGACTCCGGGCCCTCGCTCTGGACTCAAAGGTTTTAGCCGGAAAAGCATTTTTTAAAGGAATTTGTCGTTCTTTGAGGGAGCCCAGAGGCAGAGCAGCAGGGCCCTGGGAGCCCTGCCTGCCTGCGGCCGTGGCTCTGCCGTGTTCCCGTGGAGTGGAAGCTGTCCCCTGCCCTGGCTGCCAGCCGGCAAGAGAGCCTTGGAAGTTGCAGCCGAAAGAGGAGGCCTGGGAACCTGCAAGGCCGGGCTGACCACTGACCGCGTCCCGCCTGCTGTCATGATTCTGTCCCCGTGTAGAAGGAGCCACGTGGCCAGCAGTGTCCTCTGCGTGCCCTGAGCCAGAAGCCAGGAGTACAGACTGGTGCTTCCCCGTGCCCGCGTGTGTGTGCCTGTGTCCAGCGGCCGCTGTCTGGGTGGGGTGGGCTTGGGCAAGGCCGACCTGGCCTAGCAGCTGTGTCCCTGGACTTGTGTGAGCCTGTGTCCCCGTCTGTGAGGGGCAGGGATTCCTACCTCGCAGGGGTGCTGTGTGGATTAAACGTGATGACTGGCACAGGGCTGTGTGCGTCTCACTGCCGTCCTGGGTGCCGCCGCCCTGCACCTGCCGAAGGAACCAGCCCGGGGTGTGGGCCTCCTGCCCCTGCCCCCACTACAGACCGCCCCCGGGGGGCCCTCCCCCCCACCTTCTCCCTTGACCGCGAGAGTCCTTGGCTGCTTAGGGGTTTGAATGAGTTGTTCATGGTCATGTCCGGCACCCCGGGGCCCCTGCACCGTCAGCCCTTCCAGCAGCGTGGGGGCAGCTCCTGCGGCTCCTGGTTCCCGTGACCCCGCTGCACGCCCCCGCCAGGCCCCGCTCCCCCAGCCGCCTCGCCCGGGTTCCGGGGACCCACCTGGCACCACCCGCCCCCGGGTGCAGGCCGAGCGCGTCCACGCGTGCAGCATCCTCGCTTTCACGCGCCTGGCCCTGTGGAGGGCGGCTTGAGGACGCGAAGTCGACAAAGGGCCACAGGCGGCCAGCGAGAGGAGCCTGGGAGCGAGGCCTCGGTCACCCGAGTCGCGGCCAGCCCTGGGGGCGGGGCGGGCCGTGGGCTCGGCCTGGGATTGGGCAGCTGGCCGGAAGGGGCGGGACTTCCCGGGGGGCGCCAAATTGCCGAGAGCTGGCGCTGCGGCCGCGGACATGCTGCCGGCCGGCTGCTCCCAGCGGTGAGGCCCACGCGCGGGAGGGAGCGGGCGTGGGCGGGCGGGGGCCCGAGGCCGGCCCGGGCGCTGAGCCGTCGGTGTCCCCCCCAGCCTGGTGGCCGAGCTACAGGGCGCCCTGGACGCTTGCGCAGAGAGACAGAAGCAGCAGGAGCGGAGCCTCGGAGTCTGCCGGCGGCTGCTGCAGGCCTGGTACGCGGGCCCTGGGGCCTCTGGCCGGTTCTCCCTGGACGCTCAGAGTTCCGCACAGAGCACCCCCGCGGCCGGGAGGCCTGGCCCAGCCGCCCGCCTTGGAACCGCGGGTTCCAGTGCGCCTCCCTGCACCCGGACCCTGCCGGCTCCGAGGCCGGGGCTCGGCTGCAGAACCTCGGGCCCTGACTCCTAGTCGTGCTGTGGCTCCCCGCGTCTTTGCAGGGAACCAGCGAGGACCTGGGCTCCAGATCCACCTCCGGGGCCAGAAACTACCGAAGAGGACCTGACCCCAGGTACACCGGGCCGCCCGCCTTCACGGGCTGCCCCTGGCATGTGCTCAGGGGCCTCTCCTGGGGGCCGGCGGAGAGGGAGCCTTGCATGACTCTTGGCTTTCGCAGCGCGCACCCCCAGCCCCCAGGACCTCAAGGAGCTGGAGCTCTTGACGCAGGCGCTGGAGAAGGCTGCACGCGTGCGAAGAAGTGTCTGCAGGGCCGGAGGAAGAGGCGAGGCCGCCGGCCTGACGCCCGGCTCTGCTGCCGCCTCCGCTGGCACCGCGGCGCCAGGGTCCGGCCAAGGTGGCCCAGGGCCCGCCAAGGGCATCCGCCAGGCCAGGACGCCTGCCACGGACCACCCGGAGCTCAGGCCTCTGCCAGGCAGGGACAGGGCCGGTGTGGGGACAAGAGCCCGAGCCACCGAGCCTGGACGCAGCCTCAGAGACCAGCGAGTGGCCCCATCGCCTGCCCCTCAGGCCCCGGGAGCCTTCACGCTGAAGGAGCAGGGGTAGGTTTCCCAGCCCCTCGCTGGAGGAATGGCCGCGTTTGCCGGCTCCGATCCCGGCCGGCCGCAGGAGGCTGAGGACCGGTGAGAGAGCAGCGCACTGAGCAGGACGCGGGCCCGGGGAGCCCTCGGCAGCGCCTGGTCAAGTGTGGGCTCAGGAGCTGCTGGCTGGACTTGACCTGCGGGAGGCTGGCCTCCTGCCCCGCCCCCAGGCCGGCCCAGGGGTCCTGGGGGCCCTGTCCCTGTCCCCAGGCCATGCTGGGCTGAAGCCCGGTCCAGAGCCTGTGGAAGCGCGGGGGTGGGGGAGGCCTCGTGCTGACGGGGCTCTGAGCGGCGAGCCGGGCCACCCCGAACCCCCGCTTCTCTGCAGGAGGCTGCTGCGGCTGCCCGCGGCCCTCAGGAAGGCGGCGTCCCAGAACCAGCGGTGAGACGGTGGGGGCAGAGGGGAGGCCACGGTGTGCCAGCAGCCTGGGGCCGCGCGGGCAAGGGTTTCCCCGGGGCCCCTGCTGGTCTGCTGTGCGGGTCACTGTTCAGAGGGTCACCTTCAGTCCCGGCTCTGAGCCCCCCCCCCCACACACACACACACAAGGCTTGAAGAGTGTGAGGCCGAGTCGCCGTCCTCCGGAGGCCACTGCAGCGGGACACCTCCACAGAGGGCTTGCCGGGGCTAAGCGCAATGGCGCCCTCGGGTTGCCCTGTGCCTGGTCTGCAGTACCAGCCCTGTCCTCTGAAGCAGACACGCTTACAGCAGTACGGGGTCTTTTCTCCTTCCGTGAATTCTCCCCACTTCCTCGGGGGGTCAGCTCTGCCCCCACCCCACCCCGGCCCTGCCCACCCCCAAGGCTCAGCTCTGGGGGCTAGAATAACCCGCCCCTGCCCGGTTCCCGGGCACCCGTGTGTGTCCCCCAGCCTGTGGGCCCAGCTCGAGTCTGCACAGACCAGGGACCCCGCAGATGCCGCCGCCGCTGCCAGAGCCCGGTTCCTGCAGAAAATGCAGACAGCTGTATCCTTGCTGGGCTCTCCGGGGCAGGGCGGGGGGGGGGGGGGCTGGCCGCAGAGGACGTTCCCTGACCCACGTGCAGTCCAGCTGGCCCAGCCCCAGGCCCAGTGGCGCGGAGGTGGAGGCGGAGGGCCGGCGCCTGCGGAGGGCCTGCGCGCTGATGAGACTGCACATGTGGGAGGCGCTCTCGGCAGGTCAGTGAGGGCTCTGACGCGGTCCGGCCGGGCGCAGGCAGGGGCCAGGAGTGCCCTGGACCCGACCCGCTCCCTGCCCTTGCACAGCCCGCTCTGACTGGACGCAGGAGTACCACTGCCTGCTCACCCTGGAGGGACTGCAGGCCATGGTGGGGCGCTGTCTGCAGAGGCTGCAGGAGCTGCCGGCAGGTGAGGCCCAGACCCGGGTCGGGCCCTCGGCTCGGCTCTGCCGGGGACCCGAGGCGGGCGGGCTCTTCCGTGCCCCCGGCACGGTGTGCTGGCCTCTCCCCGGCTGTGCCCCCCAGCCCCCCGCCACCCAGCAGACGTGGTTCATGGCTGCGTGTGCTGGTTTGTCCAGTCCTGGCGTCTTAGCAGTTGAGAGCCACGCATGCTGGGAGGTGGTCACTCGTGGGCCGGGTAGCGCTGCTCTGTCCTTCGTGGTACTGAGTGGCTTCAGGGGGCTTTGGTTGTTCTTGTTTGTTTGTTTGTTTATTTATTTGAAAGACAGAGTGACAGAGGAACAATGCCCGCAACACCCGAGACTTGGCCAGGCTGGAGCTGGGAGCCAGGAACTGCAGCCGGGTCTCTCACGTGAGTGGCAGGATCCCGCCCACTTGGGTAACGGCGTGAAGTTTTAAGAGTGAAAAACCAAGTCCCCAGAAGTCCTGTGTAAGCACAGTGGGAAATGCGAGGGGTAAAGGGGGCCCAGTCCACCAGGCACGCACCTGAACAGCTGTACCTCGTCCTGCGGACAGGCAAGGCGGAGGGCTGGGCAGAGGGTGTGTGGGAGCCAGGGGCTGGCTGCCGCCCCACGAGGACACGGCCCCTGGCCTCAGCGGTGGGCAGAGGGTGTGTGGGAGCCAGGGGCTGGCTGCCGCCCCACGAGGACACGGCCCCTGGCCTCAGCAGTGGGCAGAGGGTGTGTGGGAGCCAGGGGCTGGCTGCCACCCCATGAGAACACAGCCCCTGGCCTCAGCAGTGGTGGAACAGCCTCCAGGGCCGTGTCTCGCGGGATGGCGCCCCCAGCCCTCGTCGCCCTGTGGGGGCAGAGCAGGCCCCACCTGGAGCCCCCGGCTGCTTTGCTACTCCAGCCCCCAGGAGCTGCAGACCCTGGCCGCCCTCAGGCTGCGGGTGGCCATGCTGCACCAGCAGATCCACTTGCAAAAGGTAGTCCCAGAGCCCAGCCCCCCGGGAAGCACCAACCATGACCTGGGGTGTGCTGCCCACTCCCCGAGGACCTGGGCTCATGGGGAGGAGTGGGTCTGTCCTGGGCCTGCCCTGCGCCCTAGGCCACCTGCTGGGAGCGCTGGACTCCTTGCCCAGAACTGGGCTCCCCGAGACCTTGGCCTCATGCTGCCCTCCCTGTCCCCCAGGTCCTGATGGCCGAGCTGCTGCCGGTGCTGAGCACCCAGGAAGCACGCGGGCCGCCCTGCCTGGCTCTGTGCCGCGCGGTGCACAGCCTGCTCTGTGAGGGCGGCGAGCACTTCTTCAGCATCCTACGGGACGACATGGCTGACTGAGGCCGGCGCCCGGTGCCCAGAGCCGCTGGAGCCCGCCGGGCGGCGCTCCACGGGTGGGCCAGTGAGCGGTGGCCTCCTCACAAACCCGTGGTCAGGGCTCCTCGCCGGGGCCTTGGGAGCCTTTCCGGGCCACCTGGGTTTGCTCCCACTGGAGACCTGAGAGCTGCCTGTGTGACATTAAAGCCACTGCAGAGTGCGGGCGTGTGAATCCCGCTGCGCCCAGACCTGCCGGCTCTGCTGTTTGGTGTCAAGACGAACATCCCTTGTGTATGAGGGGAGGGCCCAGGGCACCCCACAGGGACACTGGCTGTCTTCCCCCAAGTTCCTAGAGCTGTGGTGGGCGCTCAGGGAACCGCTGGCCCTTGTGGACTGGGCCTGCCACCAGGAAAGCCCCCAGCCCCTGCCCCACAGGGCCAGGAGGTGGGTGGTGGTACCAGGTCTCCCACCAGCCGGTGGAGTGCTGCGGCAAAGCACCTTTGGGGTGGCTCCCTGGCCCCGGCAGGAGGTGAAGTCCCAGCAGGCCAGAACTGACCTCCAACGTGGAGCCCGGGGTTGGGGGCTGCTGGGAGCCCAGAGCAGGACACGGAAGACCATGGGCCTCACTGCACTGGAGGCCCCGCTCCCCGGCCACTGCCTAGGGACTGGGCTGCTGGCACCCGGCCCAGGGGACCACAGGCCAGCCACTCCCCTGCTGCCGCCAGAGCTTATGTCCAGGTGCCCCCTTCGTGCCCGTCCACCCCAGTGTGTCCCACAGCGGGCAGTCTGCCCAGACCCCTCGCAACTGGTTCACTAGCCTTACTCTCCACCACCCCTACCGGAGGCCAGCTCCCAGGACAGCAGGTGCACAGCCACCTCCCTCTGGCCAGGCCCAGATGAGAGCCAGCAGCTGCAGACTCCATAACTCCTCTGTCTCAGGGCCAATCCGGGGCGCATCCCTGTGGACACACAAGGGCCCTCTTGGGTGGAGATGGGGGTTCCGAATTCAAGGGTGCAGAAACAAAGGGGAGCACCCCCTATTAACTCCCACCCTCTTTGATGGCCCACCAAAACGAGGAGGGGGCGGGTGAACTCCCAGGCGTCCCCCATGGCGTCACCGCGTCCCGGGCCAATAGGCTGTGACGTGGCCGACGCGAGCAGGGGCTGCGGTGGGTGTCCACTCCAACCCGCACTCAGCCACTGCGTCCACAGCATGAGCGTGCCTGGGCCCCGGCCCGCGGAGCCCGCCACAGCACCCGCACCCTCCCCGCCGGGACCCGCGCCCCCGGAACCCCTCGGGGCCCTGCGCGCGCTGCTCCTGGCCACGGGCGGCGCGGGGCGCTCGTGGCCTCGCTGCGTCCTGCCGTTCGGCGCCCTGGCCGTACTGGCTGGCGCAGCCGCCACGGCCATCACCTTCTCGCTGCGCGGACCCCGCCTGGACTTGGCCCAGGGCGCGTCGCTGGCTGCGCTCGGCGGGGGCTTCGGGCTCCTGACCGCCGCCTTCCTGTGCTGGCGCAGGCGGAGGGCTGGGCGCGGCGGGCGGCGGGAGCTGGGGACACCCTGAGCCCGCGCGCGAGGCCCCCTCCCAGCAAGGTCAAGGCGAGCCTGGCGCCGCCCCCCTCCGGCTTGGCTGGGCCTGGCGCGCCGGTCGCCGAAGCCCCCTCCCACACCCCGCCTCAAACCGTTTCAGTCCTTGGTCCTCCCGAGGCGGCCGGGTGGGGAGGTGGTGCTGCGGGCCTTCTTCCCCTCTCCGCCCTCCCCTCTCGCCCGCCCCCAGCCACCCAGTGCTGCTCTGGCGCGCAGAGCTGATGGCGACCGCAGAGCGGGCCTGGCGGAGCGCGCGGCGGGAGGGAGCCCTCGCGCTACCGGGGTCCCGCCTGGAGCGCGGGAGACGCGGTGGGGGGCGGTGTAGGGACGTGGACCGGGCGTGACCACCCCCGTGGGCGGGAGGCCAACCTGCTATGTCGCCTCCCCGGAGCTGTCTCCCGCGCTGGTTTGGAAGCCCCTCAATAAACGTCTGTGCAGTGTACGCGAACAAGTGGTGGCTTGCACTGTCTCTCGAGGGGCCGGGGGTCCTGGGGCCGGGCGGGGGATTCTTTGATCAGTCTCAGACGCCTTTTAAGAGGGACCGACCTCCAGCCCCCTGCGGGCTTGGTGCTAGCAAGCCCCCCTGCCCCTCTCCCCAACAGGCCCGCAGCTGTCACTGGGGTGGGGGCCCTGGGGAGATGCAGGTGGGGGAAGGGGACTGTGGGAGGGGCTGGGGGCAGGTGGCTGCGCCCTCTGGGGGTCTGTGGGGAGGGCCTCCGTGACTGGCACCATCTGGAGGCAGCTGTGTGCGGGAGAGGGCTCAGCCGCAGCCTCCTCCCAGGGGAGCAGTGGGTGGGGCGCCTCCTCCCTGCTGACCCACCTGCACCTCCAACAGCAGGGCTGAGCCCCCGGCAGGCCACCAGTCGTTCTGGAGACCCCAGCCCGCTGGGCTGGAGACAAAGCGGCTGCTGCCGCGGTCCTGTGGGGCTGGCAGCCTGGGTTTCTCTGGGGCCTGCGCTCAGGCCCAGTGGGACCCCAGCGTCCCAGCCAGCTCCTCCCCACTGCCCTAGAGGGTGGATCTCAGCCCCCCGGCCCCCCCCCCCCCGAGCTCACTGTGGAAGAGGGTCACCAGGAAGGTGTTGGTTCTGAACTTGACCTGTGCCAGAGTGGAGTGTAAACGCCCTGCCAGACCCCTCCTTCTCGCTGGCCTGCTTGCTGTAAGGTCAGATCTCGGGGTGAAGTGGAAGGGCAGGGCCCTGTGGCACCCCCATCTCGTGTTTGTGGGCCCGGCTGGAGCGTGTTAGATGGTCCAGGAGCCCCGCCAGGGCCCCCGTCACCGCCCTGCTGTTCTCGCTCCTCGAGGTCAGGCCCTCCTCCCTCCTCTGTCTCCTGGCACTCTCCCAGCAGCGGACTGGACTCTGCTTCTCCCCCATCCTCTTCCTGTTGGTCCTGGGGGCACCTGTGGCCCTGACCAGGTTGGCAGCTCTGCCTACACAGACACTCCCGAGCTGCGGTCAGCCCCGGGCCCCGGCGTGGTGCCCACCCCGAGCCCTCCCTTGGATGCTGGGCCTCCTCTGCCAGCGACCTACAGGTTCTCAGGAGCTGGGTGGGTGTGTCCACAGCTTTCCCCGGCCCTCGTGGCTGCCGCTGCCTCAGTTTCCCGGCACGTACCTGCTGAGGCATGAGCCACTTGTAACCAGGCACTTCCAGAGGGTCAACCCACGTCCCCTGCCTTCCACAAGTCCTCTGCAGCATGCAAGGGGCCACCTGGCGGGCTGTGCCCACCCAGCTCCCATTTCCCTCCTGCCAGCTCCAACTGCCGGCCAGAGACTCTTGGAGACCCAGCCACGTTCTGGGGTAAGACTTTGGGCAAGGGGCGGGCATTGTGGTACGGCAACACCAGCGTCCAAATGGAAGTGCCAGCCATGCAGCTCCCGGCTAAGGTGCCTGGGAAAGCAGCAGAATGAGGCCCTACCACCCACGTGGGGAACCCGGACGGAGCTCCAGGCTCCTGGCTTTGGCCTGGCCCAGCCCTGGCCATTGTAATCTTTTGGGGGGATGAACCAGATCTCTCTCTCTCTCTCTCTCTCTCTCTCTGCCTTTCAAATAAAATAAATTTTTGAGAGAAAGAGAGAGAGATAGCGCAAGGCTTGGCCAGACCCCACTGGGCACGGCTGGCCTGATGCGTTAGCTGTCCCAAGGCTGCCACGGAGACTCCAGTGTGTCCAGCTCCCCGCTGGGGCCTCCCAGCAGCTCAGAGAGCCCGCCGGCGACACTGACAGCCACGCCACGCCGTTTAGCCACGCCGTTCACGCAGCACACAGGGCGCGGGGACTCAGAATCAGACCTGCCCATATCCTGGGGGCTTTCACTGCCGCAGGCTGCTTGCTGCTTTGAGGACGCCTCGCCCACCCAGGGGAGAACCCTCAGCCGCCCGGCCCCGGGCTGCCCGCCTGATGGCCCTCACGCAGGAGGCAGCCCGACCCCTGCCCTGCGCGTGGCAGAGCCCCAGGAGCAGTCAGGCCTGGCTCCAGGCCGGAGACCCGGCTGGGTGGTCCCCCACGGGCTGCAGGGTTGAGCCGCCCCCTCCAGACCCCTCCCGCCAACGCATTCCTGGCGCCCGGGCCCCTCCCCCGGCTCCGGGGCCTCCCAGCCCCCTCCCCCGCCGGCCCAGCCTGAGCCTGAATCTGCTTCTGATTCCGGCTGTGCCGACCAGGCCCCCTCCCCTCTTCTCCCTCCTCCCGGCCGGGCAGCCCCGCCCCCGGCTGGGCCCAGGCCTGCGCCTGCTGCGCCCCCCACCCCCTCTTGGCACAGCTCGTCCGCCCTCACTGCAGCCGGGAGGAGGCGGCGGCCCCGGGCGCCCCAGGCCCCGCCCGCCCACGGCCCTTCCCGGGAGGCCGGGAGACCTGCTCGGCCCGGCCCTCGGTGGGTGAGTGCGAGCGCAGGGCAGCGGGTGGGGCCTCCGCGGGCGGAGGCACCGGGAGCGGGGGCGCAGCCTGTCATCGCCGCGGGCCCAGCGGGAGGACGCGCCAACATCCCCGCTGCTGCGCTCGGCCCGGGGCGCGCCCGCCGCCGCTCCCACCTCTGCGCCCGGGCTGGGGCCGCCCGGGGGCTTTGCACGCTCGGCACTGCGAGGCCGGCGGGCAGCGTCGTGGGACCCTGGCCGGCTGGCGCGCTCGCGGCGGCTCCGGCCATGCCCGGCTGGCCGTGGGGGCTGCTGCTGACCGTGGGCACGCTCTCGGCCGCGCTGAGCTCGGGGCCGCCGGCGTCCGCCGACCCCTGCCACGACGAGGGCGGCGCGCCCCGCGGCTGCGTGCCGGGCCTGGTGAACGCAGCCCTGGGCCGAGAGGCGCTGGCGTCCAGCACGTGCGGGCGTCCGGCCACTCGGGCCTGCGACGCCTCGGACCCGCGGCGGGCGCACCCCGCGGCGCTCCTGACCTCGCCAGCGGGCTCGGCAAGCCCCCTGTGCTGGCGCTCGGACGCGCTGACGCAGGCCCCCTTCAACGTGACCCTCACCGTGCCCCTGGGCAAGGCTTTCGAGCTGGTGTTCGTGAGCTTGCGCTTCTGTTCGGCTCCGCCAGCCTCCCTGGCCCTTCTCAAGTCGCAGGACCACGGCCGCAGCTGGGCCCCCCTGGGCTTCTTCTCTTCCCACTGTGGCCTGGACTACGGCCGGCCGCCTGCCGCCGCCCGCGGCCCTGCTGGCCCTGGGCCTGAAGCCCTGTGCTTCCCTGCACCCCAGGTGCAGCCCGATGGGGGTGGCCTCCTGGCCTTCAGCGTGCAGGACGGCAGCCCGGCAGGCCTGGACCTGGACAGCAGTCCCGTGCTGCAGGACTGGGTGACGGCTACCGACATCCGAGTGGTGCTCACAAGGCCTGCCAGGCCCGGGGACGCCGGGGACGTGGAGAGCACGGCGCCCTACTCCTACTCGGCCACCGAGCTGCAAGTGGGCGGCCGCTGCAAGTGCAACGGGCACGCCTCGCGCTGCCTGCTGGACGCCCAGGGCCGCCTGACCTGTGACTGCCGGCACGGCACCGAGGGGCCCGACTGCGGCCGCTGCAAGCCCTTCTACTGCGACAGGCCGTGGCAGCGGGCCACAGCCCGGGAGGCCCACGCCTGCCTCGGTGAGGCCTTGGAGGGCGGCCTGGGGGATCTCGGACCGGGCCGGCCTGCCCCTGACCCGTGCCTCCCCACAGCTTGTTCCTGCAACGGTCACGCCCGCCGCTGCCGCTTCAACATGGAGCTGTACCGGCTCTCGGGCCGCCGCAGCGGGGGCGTCTGCCTGAACTGCCGGCACAACACCGCCGGCCGCCACTGCCACTACTGCCGGGAGGGCTTCTACCGCGACCCGGGCCGGGCCCTGAGCGACCGGCGCGCCTGCAGAGGTGAGCCTGCCACCGGCCACCCACACCCCCTGGTTTGGCTGAACCCCAGGCGGCTCCTGACCAGGTCCTGCCTGCCTCCGCCCTCAGCCTGTGACTGTCACCCAGTCGGTGCCGCTGGCAAAACCTGCAACCAGACCACAGGCCAGTGTCCCTGCAAGGACGGCGTCGCGGGCCTCACCTGCAACCGCTGTGCCCCCGGCTTCCAGCAGAGCCGCTCTCCGGTGGCACCCTGCGTCAGTGAGTGACCGCGCCCTGCCTCAGCCCCGTCCCGAGCCTGCAGCTCCCCCCGCGCCAGTATCACAGGTCCTTGTGCTGCCTTCTCCGCAGAGACTCCTGTCCCCGGCCCCACCCAAGAGAGCCGCCCCGTGGAGCCACAGGGTGAGTGGACACGGCACTGGGCCCCAGTCTGGGAGGAACCGGGCGGAGAGAGGTGGAGCGGGGGAGGGGGGAATCCGTGCCAGCCTTCGCCCACCCCTCCCCGCAGACTGCGACTCGCACTGCAGGCCTGCCCGCGGCAGCTACCGCATCAGCCTGCGCAAGTTCTGCCGCAAGGACTACGGTAGGCTGCCCCCCAGCCCGCCCCCCGCATCCCCTGACCCTCGCGGGGCACCACAGCCCGCGCGGCCCCCCGGGCTCCCCTCCTCCGGCGGCTGTCCCCGCGTCCCCTGGCGCTCCTACCGCGGGCCGCCCCGTCTGACTCCGCCCCTCCCGCCCTCCCCGCAGCGGTGCAGGTGGCGGTGAGCGCGCGCGGGGAGGCGCGCGGCGCGTGGACGCGCTTCCCAGTGGCCGTGCTCGCCGTGTTCCGGAGCGGCGAGGAGCGAGCGCGGCGCGGGAGCAGCGCGCTGTGGGTGCCGGCCCAGGACGCGGCCTGCGGCTGCCCGCACCTGCTACCGGGCCGTCGCTATCTGCTGCTGGGGGGCGGGCCGGGGGTCTCGGCCGGAGCCGGGGGGGGCCGGGGGCCCGGGCTCAGCGCCGCCCGCGGAAGCCTCGTGCTACCCTGGAGGGACGCGTGGACGCGGCGCCTGCGGAGGCTGCAACGGCGCGAGCGGCGGGGGCGCTGCCGGGCGGCCTGAGCCCGCGGGCCGCGCTGGCCTGGGCGGGGCCCCGCTGCGCGCCGGGGCGCCCGTTCCGCCCCCGCTGTCGCGGGTCCCCGAGTCCCCACTCGTCACCGCCGGCGCTTCCCTGGGCCCCTAGGGATGTGACAGACGCCGCGGCGACCCCGAAGGGCTGCGCGGGGGCTCCCTGGGCGGCCGAGACTCCCGAGCGCGCTTCGCGCACCCCCACGCCGTCTGCCGACCCCTCAGGGCCGAGGGCACATCCAGGGCCACTGGGGGCCAGCTCGCCCTGCCCCACGCACTGTGGTCCGACAGAGCGCGCACTGGCCTCCCCGCAGGCGCCGTGGCCACTGACTGCGCTGCCCACGGCCCACGGCCCGCAGGGGGCGCTGCGGCGCCTCCTCCCGCCCACCAGGACCGCCGCCTCTGTCCAGCTGCCCACATCGGGTCCGCGCTCTGCCCACGACCCTGTGCCCAGCTGCCTCTGCCCGTGACCCTGACTCCAGTCTGGACCTCAGCCTGCAGGGCTCCTCCGCGCCTCCCTCCCCCCGAAGCCCCTGCGCCCCTTGTCCGCCAGATCGGGACCGGGCCGGGAGGCGCTCCGGAGGACGGCCATCCGAGCTCCCGGCCCTCGGACACCGCGGCCGCCGCCTCGGGCTCCCCGCGCGGGGCCCGGGGCTCCGCGGGCGCATGCTCCGGCCGCCGCCGCGCCTCAGCGCGCATGCCCAGAGCCGGGCCGGGCCGGGACCCGCGGGCGCGGCGGGGTGGGCAGCGCGGCGCGCGCTCGGCGGGGGCGGGGCCGCGCGCGCGCGTGCGCAGACAGCCGGGGCGCCGTCGTGCGGCGAGCGGAGCAGGCGGCGCGGCTCGCGGAGGTGGGTGTGCGGCGCGGTGCGGGGTGGAGAGGCCGGCGCCGGGCCGCTGGGCTGGGCGCGGCTGTCATCGCGAGGGGGTGGTGCCGGGGTCGCGGCGCGCGTCCCAGGCTGCGGGGCCTCTCCGCATTCGGGGTGCCCTGGCCTTGGCGCGAGTCGGGGGGCTCCGCCCCGGCCGCGGGGCGCGATGCGGGGGCCCTGGCGGCCGGCGGGCCCCGCAGGGCGAAGCGGAGGGGGCGTCGCGGGAGTCGGCTGTGTGTCGCCCTCTCCCGGGGCTCTTTCCACTCTCGCCCGGTCGGAAGTGCAGCAGATGTCCGCGCGGACCGGCCGCCCCTGTCGCCCGTTACCTGCCCCAGGGTGGCGCCTGGGGGGTCCCGCGCCCCGGAGCCCCTGCCGCCGCGCGCAGGTGCAGCTGCGGGGTAGAGCGGGCGGGGGCGCCACGGCCTGGTGAGCAGGCTCGGGTCACTGCCCCAACGCAGTTGTGCCCTGGGCCTCTGGTCAAGGCCGAAGGTTGGTCCGAGGACCCGCGGGGTGGTGCGCAGGGCCAGCCGGGCCGCTGGGGCCGTTGGATCTTCAGCCCGGGGTGTGGTCCCCCGTGCCCGCGGGCAGCTGGCGGGGAGGGGAGGGCCGCCCCGGGATTAGCAGGGCTGCGGCGCCGCTGCTCCGTGCCCGGCACACGTGCGCCGTGGCCGCACTTAAGGGACCCCGGCTGGTAGAGACCGACCCAGATCAGAGGAGACGGGGAGGCTTCACCCAGGGGGACCCCTCGGCCCCCCTCCGGCCTTTGCTGCCCCCGGCCTGGCGTGGCGTGGGGGGGTTCTGAGTGGTTTGAAAGGAGCCCCGGCGCGGTTGCCAGCAAGACGTGGACTGGTGCGGATCTCGCCGGGGTCGGGGTGACCTTGCCGCGTCGGCTGGGAGGGGCGAGCGTCTGGGGGTGCGGACATAATCTGGTAATCCGGCAGGCTCTGCGCAGCGGCGATTACATCCGGGCCCGGGTCTGCGTGTCCACCTGCAGGTGGGCCTTGGGCACCCGAGCCGCTCCGTCCTCCTCGCGGACGAGCCAGCCTCGGGCGACACACTTGAGTGTTTGCCGGAGTCTGGTTTAAGGTACATAACGACTTCGAGGCAGGCTGTAAACAAGCACTTAGCATTCCCCTTCAGTGTTCTCCCTGTCTGAGCCGCCAGCTGTGTGTGACACCCTGTGAACACGGAGAAGCCCCTGCCACCGAGGCAGCCGCGTCAAGTGTCGCCTTCCAAACCAAGATAAAATCAAAAAAAAGCCAGCCTGGGGCTTTGTGCTGAGAACCGGTGTGAGTTCATTATTCAGTGACGTCCTCTGTCCTCAGCCTGCGTGTTTTTGTCACGTGAACCGGCGCTGTGACGGCGCAGTGCCGCGCAGGATTTGGCCTCTGCCTGGAGCTTGCCCGGGCACAGGGGCGGGCGAGAGGAGCCCTCCGGGCCGGGGGCAGCGTGTGCAGTGACAACGGTGGCTTGGGGGGCCGCGGAAGAAGGCGTTAGGGAGCGGGGCTGACAGCGTTGACCCCAAGTGTGACTCGTGTTCTGAGTGGTGGCAAGCCGCCCAAGGAGCTTAGCTTTGTGAGTGACCTGGTCGCGGTGGGGGGCTGCCCGGGGCCACGGCGCCCCCAGACGTGTAAGGACGCAGGAGGGCAAGACGGCAGGACCAGGGGCTCCCGGGCGGGGGGAAGGGCGGGCGCTGGCGGGTTCCCCACTGCTCCCCACCCCCGGTCGGAGCTGCCAGCATCCAGGCAGCAGGTGGGCGTCCGTGGCCTGGAGCTGGGCCGTGGGTTGGGTCTTCCTGGGAGAGCCTGCGGACTGGCAACAACACCGAACCCGGCAGGCCCCGGGAGACGGCAGCAGGCCGACGGCTCTCGGGGGAGGAGGAGGGGCTGGGCCCTCGTGTCTGTGACGGACGGACTTTGCTTCTTGGGCTGAAGGGCGGGACTGGGCTGCCGCAGGTGTGCCTGGGGCCTCCTGTCTCACGTGCCCCTTCCCCCTTTGGGGCCCTGGGTTGGTGCCCCCAGGACGTCCTCCCCTGTGGGAGCGCAGGGCCTCACAGCAGGTGGACCTTGGGAGCATTGGCCCAGTGTGGGGCCCCGGCCGTGTTCCTCCCAGGGTGAGGAAAGGAGCCCGTGTGTCCCCATCCGGGCCGCCGAGCTTCTCCCCGTGTCTCCCGGGACAGGAGGTCCTGGTCCCAGGCCGTACCTGGGCAGGGAAGTCCTCCCTGCATCTCCCCTGGGCGGCGCCTGCCGGTGGTCGCGCGGGTCTGACGGTGCCACGCACACTCCCGGGTACGGCTCTCCGGTGGGCGACTGCTGCCGGTGGAAGCCCTGGACTGCGTGGAGTGCGTGGCCTGTCCTGTCGTGCTCCCCGTGCCCTCCCCGGCCAGGCCCCTCCTGACAAGGGTCCCCCCGCCCCCGTCCCGGCACACCCGCGGGTGGCAGAGGGCCGAGGCTCGGGTGGGGCTCCTGCTCTCGGCACACGGGGGCGCCGTCCTTTCTCGGGTCCTCTGGGTCCTTGGAGCCTGCAGGGCTGCGCCGACTCTGAGCCAAGTGGCCCCGGACGCCCAGCGGGCCCTGCCCTCCGTGCTGTCCCGAGGAGCCGGGGCCCCCACGCTGGGGGACCCCGCTGAGCCAGTCTCCTCGTGGGCCAGGGCCCGGCGCTTGCCAGTTGTAGCACCCACGCCTGAATCGGCATGATCGGTACCCCTGGCCCGAGGCAGGACTCACGGGAGCTGGGCGGGGCCTCGCACTCGGCACGCTGGCATGCAGGAAGCGTGGCTTGGATGCCTCCTGCAGTGGTGGGGTGCGCGTGACTCACGTATAGACATGTAAGAGACAGCACGAGAGTCTGAAGGCGCTGGCCCAGGGCCTCCTGGGGGCAGAGCGCACTCCTGCCCGGGCTGTCGTTCGGAGCTGCGGCCGGCAAGGCCTCCTGAGCCCAGAGAGAGAGATCCTGCAGCCCGGCCTGCGAGGCCGAGACGGCGCCGCGTGGCTCTGGAGACCTGCCTCTGAACCGGCAGGCGGGCCCGCCCCCGGCCCTGGAGCCGTGACTAACACTTGTCGCACCTGGCACGTGCCCGCCTTTGTCTGCCCGGCACGGGCCCACTATCAGGTTTCCCGCAGCCGGCCGCGCGGGCGTCGCTGTGGAATGCCGGCACCGCTGATGCTCTGCGTGGCGCTCCCCGTGCCTGCTCGGCCTTCAGAATTAAGTTTCCCCCTCCGGCCCGAGTGGTTTGCCGTCGTCCTTGGTGTGTGCCTGTTTCCTGGCTCTGGGTTCCTCCTCCCTGGGGCGTACAGGGTGCTGAGCTGGGCAGATGAGCAGGCCACTGCCCCGGGTCCTGGAGGCGGAAATGGATTGGCGGGCTCAGCCCTGCCCCGGGGGCAGGGGCGGGGAGGGACAGGCCATCCCTCTGAGTGGAGCGTGGCCACTGCCCTGGGCACCGGCAGGAGAGGCGGGTCCAGGGAGGATCGTAGGTGGGGAGTCTGCGCCGAGTGCCGTCGCCGAAGCACTCGGGAGGCACTCTGGGCAGCGGCTGTAGGGGCCGGGCCATCCGCACCAGACGGTGCTGGCCAGGAAGAGGGTGGACCCTTGCATGTCCCAGAGGACCTGGCCGGGAGCAGCAGAACTGCGAGAGGTGAGGTGTGTGCGGGTGGGCAGCCTCGTGCTTGGTAGGCGAGGGCCCCAGGGTGTCCTGGGGAGAGGCAGCCGGGGTGGAGGGGGCCGGCGCTCCCGCCAGCAGCTGCCGTCAGAGCCGGGGAGGAATCTCGGGTTTCTGTCCCGCCGGGTTCGAGGCTGGCATGTGCAGCGGAGAGCCTAGGTCCCCAGGAAGTGAGAGCCAGCACCGGGAGGGGCATCAGGCCAGGCCCACGGCTGCGCTGGTCACACAGAGGGCCGGCCAGGCCCACGGCTGCGCTGGTCACACAGAGGGCCGGCCAGGCCCACGGCTGCGCTGGTCACACAGAGGGCCGGCCAGGCCCACGGCTGCGCTGGTCACACAGAGGGCCGGCCAGGCCCGTGGCTGCGCTGGTCACACAGAGGGCTGGCCCGAGAGGAGGTGCTTCCCGGCAGCCCCCTTCCCCCGAGGGGAGTGGAAGGGTGAAGCCGTGAGCCGTGAGCCGGCACCGGGAACTGGAGAGGGTGCTGGCAGGTGGGCCAGGGAGGCCTGCCAGGCGGCGGCGGCTCACGAGCTGGCACCAGCAGGCCCGCGGCGTGATTCCTCCCCGCCCAGGCTGCCGTCTGGTGCTTCAGCCTGGCTTCCTCTGCTGGTGGCTGAGGTGGGAGGAGGGGCAGAGTAGGAGCTGAGGCTGGGCTGGGCTGGGAGGCGGTCCCTGGGCCCCACGTGGCGGGGGGAGTTTTGCCCCCTGAACTCAGGGGCCGGGTTCCTGGGCTGCCACACTGTACATAAAGAGGTGGGAAGTGGAGCCAGGCTCCCCGGTGATGGCAGCACGGCGAGGAAGGCAGGTGCCGGCGGAGGGGGCCGGCGCTCCGACAAGTCCCAGAGGAGGGGAGGGGGGGGCAGCAGGTGAGCTCGGGAAGCCTGGCGGCCGTGGCCACCCCGGTTAGTGACACCGCCGCCAGCCGGCCACGTGGCCAGAATCTGCTGCCTTCCTAGATGGCAGTGGCCCCAGGCAGTGGGGCCAGGAGGGGGCAGGTCTCCAGAGGAGTGTCCCCAGACTGGTCCTTGGGGTCTGTGCACGGGAGAGCGCCAGCCTGCGCCCAGGCCCCTTCCCCGCACCGTGTCCCTGGCCGAGTTTCTGACGGCTGCCCGCTGTGTGCCCGACAGATCTTCGTTCGAGGAAAGCCAGGTGGTGCCTCTGTGTGCACTACCCTGATGGCCCCTCAGGGGTCCGAGGCCCTCATACTTGCCCCTCTGTGTGGGGCAGTTGGGTGCCTGTGGTCCCTGGAACCCACGTCTCCCTCTCTGCCCGTGCAGCCACCTCCAAGGGGCTTCCGGAACCTGCACAGCTCCCCCGAGTGTGGCGTGCGCCCTCACGCGTCCCAGCCCTGCCGCCCGGGGTCTTCCCGGCATTGCTCTGTGCCCAGCTCAGTGCCGGGGCCCAGCAGGTGCTTTGGAGAACGGTGGATGCCACTGGGAGGACGGAGGGGGCCGGTGGCCCGGGCTGCGCTGACCTGTTGTTCCCGGGCTGAGGCCTGGGGGTGGGGGCCGAGCGTCCCCTGACCTTGTCTGTGGCCCTGGCAGATTCCTGGCAGGTGGGATTCAGCAATTCCTGACCGACCCTACCCCCATAGGAGTCAGACCCCGTCAGACCTGGGAGGAAGGTCCCTGGCCCGGGAGGGTGACTTACCTGAGTGCTGGTTTCCACCCCCAGCCCTCCACCTGAACGTCCAGCGACACTCAGCTGGCCAGCCATGCCCACCCCGTCCTCCCCACCTGGCCCTCTGCCTGGCGTCCCCGCGTGGGCTCGCTGCTCGTCCCAGAGGCACTGGGCGGCGAGGGACTGCAGCTGGCTTGTCCGTGGGGCGTCTCCTCCCCACACCCCCAGCGTTCAGCAAAGCAGGGGCTGCCGTGGGGAGCGAGGGGTGTTGAGCCCCGTCAGGGCACGCACGTGGCTCCGGCGCCTGGGACGCCCCGCTCCCCACGGGCCCCTCGCGCTGCCTGGCTCAGAGTGGAGCTGAGCCTGAGCCCTGTTGTCGCCCTTCCTGGGCCAGGGCGGGTGTGGCCGTTGAGCCGGAGCTGGCCAAGGAGTCCCTGGTGTGCCAGGCTCCCGTGGCTGGGGCTGCCTCGCCCACGGGGCCACAGATGGCCTTCAGGTGGCGTCAGATGTGTGCCGGACCCTCCGTGCCACCGGCGTCACCGCTGGCTTGCCCGCTCTGCCCTGAGCTAGCGCTGCCTGACACCGCAGGGTGGAGCTCCCTGGGCATTCGTGCCCCCACCCCAGCAGAATCCTTGAGCGGCTTGGGCACCGCCTCCACTGGGCGGAGTCCACCCCATGCACTTGTGGGCACACCCCACCTTCCGTGACCTCCAGGCACAGCCTGGCCCTGGCGCTCTGCCCTCCCCCTCCAAGGCCAGCTTCTGCGTGGACTCTCCTCTGGCCTTCGTGTGGGGCGCCCCCACCCTGGGCACCCCCTGCCCCTTCCTGCCTCTCCTGCTGTGCTCACGGGGGTGCCCTGTCTCCACCCTGCACCAGGCCGCTCCTGGTACTTGGGGTCCCCCTGCCCGTCCGCACACCCTTCCTGCTGGTGATCCGTCTGCTCTTTGCGCCGTCTTACCCAGAGGAGGCACCGCTGTGGGGTGGGTCGGAGTCTGGGGCTCAGGGGCCGTGGTCAAGTGCCGGGATCCCATTCCTTGGGACGCGCACCCCAGGAGGGGCACCCAGGAAGGAGCTGAGCCGGCTGCAGAGGGGACCCTGGGGCTCAGCTGCGGCCCCGTTTCTGTCCCATGGAACAGTTTGTCTTCACATCCGGCCGCTTGTGTGGAAAAAGCACCCTCCCGCCGGGGAGGTGAGAGGCACAGGGACCGGCAACTCAGGCCTGGAGCAGAGTCCTGGGGCTCCGAGCCTGCTGGGGGCGCGCAGGGCAGGGCTGAGCGTGGGCGGCCCCGGGCATCCAGT